ATTAAAAAATATGGTAACAGCAGCAAGGAACAAAACTAAGAATTACATATTTAATTAAAACTACTTTTATGGATTATATCGCGTTTAATTTGAATTGATTTTAAATTCCCGACGTTTCGGGTGCTTTCCAGCACCCATGGTCACGGGGGACTGTCCCCTGTAAAAGTAGTTTTAATCAATGGGTGCGTTTGGCAGAAAAAAGCGTTAGCAAGCGCTTGTAAGCAAAATGGCGATCGTAAGCGGTAAGCGCTGTCAAATCCTAAGTAGCTATTTTCCTCCAGGACACGATGTTAGTTTTATCCGGGGAATCTAACCTAATTTAAATATATGTTTGTAAATTATTCATATTAAAAACTTACCAATCATGAATTTTTAATAACATATATATGTCTATTCATGTCATTATATTAGTTAAAACTAATATTGTACAAAACAACTTATAAACTCTACTTCAAAACAAACAAATTAAATAAGCAAAATGGCGGATTGTGTCAGCGCTACTGATTTAGCAATCGTGTCCTGGCCGAAAACTATTTTAGCGCTTGTAAGCGCTTGCTAGCGCTTTTTTCTGCCAAACGCACCCATTGTGTAGTGTTCGCGTAAATATAAGAAATCATTATTACATACTTAAATCAATTACCTGCAACAAATGTGCTTGGTAAGATTATAACTCAGAACCAAAAGTTTGACTTGACTTCATGATATTGTAACTTGTACTACCAATCAATCTGTTTAGTAATATTGGTGTGAAACTCTCCATACAATTAGATAGGACATGTAAAGTTCTCAGATTTCCTAATGCACATAAAAAGTGCAAAAATTAAACAAAAATTACGATTTTTCAAAACAATATTATGGGATTTAAACTCGCACCATTTAATGCGGTAAACGGTCGCTTGACCTTACCGCTAAATTCGCCGTCATCGAGCATTTAATTAAATGCTCGATGTTCGCCGTTGACATATTGTTAAACAGCTGTTCCCTTGCAAATTATAATATTACTGCCCCGCTCCTTTATAAAAATAGCGTGATTATTATGTTCCCAGAGTTAAATTTTAATTTTAATTTTAACTAATAACATGCCATTTTGTGCATTCAATTATTTTGTGAATTCAATTACGAAGGAAAACCTTTTAAAATCAATACTGCTTACCTCCTATAACATGCAGCGTGATAATATGTAGCCTAAAGCCTTCCTTGGTTTACAAAGAACATTTTTGCTGAATTTCAATTCAATCTATCCAGTAGGGGCTTGAAGCCGTACCATACGCACAGACAAACTGACAAAAATTCTAAAAAGTCATTTTTTGTCATCAGTTACGTTTTTCTAACAATAGCCACTTATTTTTTCTCGAAAATACTCAATGTACAGTTTTTCTTTCGTTACTGTTTTATTATCATATTTATGTACGGGACTATTTTAATTTTAATAACTTCTACAAAATGAGTGATGCCCATTATTTCAACACGTGTAATAAATTTAATCTTGCTATTCTAAAGTTAAAATTCCATAAAACTAGCGTCTCATTTCTATTTATAACAAGATTTCCTGTAATAATACAGATTTGTCTTTCCATAAATGCAAAATGCATGTTAAAAATATTCTTAAGAAGAAAGGATATTAGAAATTAAGTGACTATATAAAAGATATGAATGTGTGGAGATCAATCTTTACGTGGTAGAGCCATGCTGCAGTTATATTGGTGGTATAAGCACGAACGGGTCGGCTCGACCGGGGAAGGACCACGCTCTCACAGAATACCAACGCAAAATAGTAGCTTAATGCTGCTGTGTTTCGTATGATGAGTGTAGAGAACCGTTTGAATACAAAAATGTGCTTTGTAAAAGTTATTTTCGAATAAAAATATTTGAATTTGACTACGAACAACATCGTCCACAAGTCTCTCGTCAACAACGTTGTACAGATTGAGAGTGTGTCGACGAGGGTCGCGTACCTGATACTCAGAATCACCAAACGGTATTCGCTGAAGGTCATACAGGTTTACGCACCAACGTCGGCACATTCCGATGAGGAGGTGGAGGAAATGTATGAGGATATTTCCAAAGCCATACATTCCTCCAAAACCCACTACACGGTGTTGATGGGAGACTTCAACGCAAAACTAGGCACAAGAGAAAACGATGAGCTGAAGTTAGGGAAATTTGGAGTAGGGCAACGGAACCGAAGGGGCCAGCAGCTGGCCGACTTTATGGAGAAAGAGGGACTCTTTATGATGAACTCTTTCTTCCAGAAGCGGCCCCACAGGAAGTGGACCTGGTCGAGCCCCGACGGTTCGACAAAAAATGAGATTGACTTCATTATGACGACCAGACGCCAACTGTTCAGTGATGTCTCAGTGATCGCAAGGGTGAAAACTGGCAGCGATCACCGAATGGTTAGAGGCACACTGAACCTAAACGTTAAGTTGGAGAGGTCTCGTCTAATGAAGTCAACGCTCCGTCCCCCCTCGTGCTCTGATCCAAAATCCCGAAAACTTTCAGCTCGAGTTACACAACCGCTTTCAGTGCCTACAAGATTGCAATGCAGTGGACGATATGAATGACAAGCTTGTGGAAACTGTCCATGCGGTCGGAGCTAGGTTCTGCAAGACCCGCCGCAGAGGAACACAAAAACTCTCCGATCACACTCTTAATCTCATGGCTGTTAGACGGGAGATGAGGCTGCAATCGTCAACAGATTTGACAGCATACAGGCAACTGAACAGACAGATCTCCAAATGCATGCGGCGAGACTTACGCAACTTTAATACTGCTCGTATTAAAGAAGCGATCGAGCGGAACCAGGGCTCCAAAGTCTTTGCCAGAGATCTGTCTGCCAGAAAGAGCCAACTGTCAAGGCTGAAGACTGAGTGTGGCAGCATCGTTTCCGGGACACCTGAGATTTTGAGTGAGATTGAGAGGTTCTATGGGCAGCTGTACACATCATCGTTGGAGCCACACGCAAGTGTGAGTAACGATCCAAGAGCAAGTCTTATCCGACACTATTCCGATGATATCCCGGACGTCAGTCTAAGCGAGATTAGAATGGCTCTCCAGCACCTTAAAAACGGCAGGGCCCCAGGCGAGGATGGAATTACAGCGGAGCTTCTGAAAGCGGGTGGAACACCGGTACTTGAAGTCCTTCAGAAGCTCTTCAATTCCGTCCTCCATGGTGGCACTACTCCAGAGGCGTGGAGCAGAAGTGCGGTGGTCTTGTTCTTTAAGAAAGGCGACAACGCTCTCTTGAAGAACTACAGACCGATTTCCCTTCTGAGCCGCGTCTACGTGCTGTTTTCGAGAGTCATTACGAATCGTCTCGCACGCAGACTCGACGACTTCCAGCCTCCCGAACAAGCCGGTTTCCGAAAAGGCTTCAGTACCATAGACCACATACATACCCTGCGGCAGATTGTACAGAAGACTGAAGAGTACAATTTGCCACTTTGCCTGGCGTATGTGGACTATGAGAAAGCCTTTGATTCCGTCGAAATTTGGGCGGTGCTGCAGTCCCTTCAGCGGTGCCAAGTTGACTGTCGGTATATCGAAGTGCTGAAGTGTTTGTACAGTAGGGCTACGATGGCTATCCGAGTACAGAACCAGAGCTCGAAACCTATCCAACTGCAGAGAGGTGTAAGACAGGGTGACGTTATATCCCCGAAACTCTTCACCGCTGCTTTGGAAGACGTTTTCAAGCTACTGGACTGGAAAGGATACGGTATTAACATCAATGGCGAGTACATCACTCACCTTCGATTTGCCGACGATATAGTCCTTATGGCAGAATCGCTGGAGGACTTAAGCACTATGCTCAATGACCTCAATAGTGCCTCCCAACGGATAGGTCTTAAGATGAACATGGACAAAACAAAGATTATGTTTAATGTCCATGTCACACCTATGCCGGTAGTTGTTGGGAGCACTATGCTCGAAGTTGTTGATGAGTACGTTTACCTGGGACAAATATTCCGACTAGGTAAGTCCAACTTCGACCGAGAGGTCAATCGACGGATTCAACTCGGCTGGGCAGCGTTCGGGAAATTACGACATATCTTCTCGTCAGGTATACCTCAATCTCTGAAAACTAAAGTGTACAACCAGTGCGTGTTGCCAGTGATGACTTACGGATCAGAGACGTGGTCCTTCACTGCTGGCCGTATGAGGACGCTCAAGGTCGCTCAGCGAGCTATGGAGAGGGCTATGCTCGGAGTTTCTCTGCGTGATAGACTCAGAAATGAGGATATCCGCAGTAAAACCAGATTGACCGACATAGCCCAACGGATTAGTAAGCTGAAGTGGCAATGGGCCGGCCATATAGCTCGAAGAACCGATAACCGATGGGGAAGAAAGGTTCTCGAGTGGCAGCCTCGTACCGGTAGGCGTAGTGTAGGGCGACCCCCCACTAGATGGAGTGACGACCTGGTAAGATATGCAGGAAGTCGATGGATGCAGGTGGCTCAGGACCGTGCTTTGTGGCATTACTTGGGGGAGGCCTATGTTCAGCAGTGGACTTGTGAAGGGCTGTGATGATGATGATGATGATGATGACGAACATTGAAGGTACAGAGCAGTTATTAATACTAACCATTATATTTTACATAAGATTGTTAATTTTCGAACTATTCAATGTAAAAGACAAAATAAAGTACGAAACGTTGATAACATTCGTGTTCGTGGGTTTCAACAGATTTTATTACCTCCCGCGAATTGTTGGCTTTCGAATTTCCGATTATTCAAAATCGGCCAAAAACCATTGTGGAAGGAATCTTCTACCAGCTCTGGCGAAGCCTATATTTATCAGTAAAATGTTGCTGATGAAGAAAAATATAAGTTGCATAGTAGAAAGTAATTGAAAAGTCTTCACATTTTAATGCAGTCATGTTTAAGTAAGCATGCTTTTTCTTAACTTAATGTAATTGTTCTAGATCCATAAGAGTATTATTAACTAGTTTTTTTTAGTAGAGTCTACTCTTGCGTGAGCGTAAGGTTTAAGTTTTACGCACCAAGTTTGTAGCAGATCTGGATGAACTCCGCCGGCGCACCGCTAGCTCTCTGGCAGCGAAGGTGTCGCCTCCTACTTCTTCAATAAGTTCCTCCCACTCTGAATCGTCAATTACGATTTCTCCTGAGCCAACCTGAAAACGCATTAAGTGATCGATTTCATGAAAATAAACTCAAGGTCGCTCAGCGAGCTATGGAGAAGGCTATGTTCAGAGTTTTCCGCGTGATAAACTTAGAAATAAGGATATCCGCAGTAGAACCAGAGTGACCCACATAGCCTAACGGATCAGTAAGCTGAAGTGGCAATGGGCCGGCCATACACCTCGAAGTACCGACAACCGATGGGGAATAAAAGTTTTTGACTGGCAGCCCCGTAACGGTAGGCGAAGTGTAGGGCGAACCCCCACTAGATGGAGTGATGACCTGGTAAGTCATGTGGGAAATCGATGGACTTTGTGGCATTCCTTGTGGGAGGCCTATGTTCAGCAGTAGACTTGTGAAAGGCTGTAATGATGATGATGATGATGATGATGAAGTTATTTGCGATAGAAATATGAATAGAAACGTATAATATTTGAATGGGAGATTTTTTGATGGAAGATTTTTCTCGTGGTAGAGCCAACTGTTTAGTGGCGGTGTAAGAATACCCACTACACCATATCGTACCGTGGGTGTCGTAAGAGGCGACAGAGGGAAACAAATCAGGAGATGGGCAGCATCATTTTCGCCAACTCGCCTGCCAAGCGTGGCAACTATGGCAAAATCCCCAATATGAGGCAATCTAGGCCTATGTTGAGCAGTGGGCTTTTATAGGCTGTAATGAATGGATGGAGAGCCATGCCGCAGCTAATTATGTTTGTAGTACGAATGGGTCGGCTCGGTCGGGGTAGGACCACGCCCTCACAGAATACCAACAATAAATAGCAGCTTAATGCTGCTGTGTTTTTATGGTGAATGTAGAGAACCGGAGACCATTTTTATTAGAAACGAGGTATTCCAATCTGACTGCATGTTCCTTTGTAACCGTTATTCTATAAAAAACAGATTCATTATATTTTCGCATACGGTTGGCAAGTGCAAAACCATCTTTGAAATTTGGGGTGAAGTGTTTTTGTAAAGATGGAAGTCGTCGTCAATGCCAGTCGTACCACAGCAGGTCAGATTGGCATTTGAAGCAAATACTGCATAACATCTCGACCCTTTGTAATTTTTACAAGCTATAAAATTTTGATACAAATACAAACATCTAAACTCAAAGGAATTATTTGCAGACCATGCAAATAGTTGTTCCGATAGAAATATAGTTTTATATGTTATTGTTTAAATATCGGCCCGCAGTGCCGAAGCCATATATCACTACGCAACCAAGTTCTTAAATAACATAAATATATTTGCTAATTTACCTTGGTAAAGTAATGTACTCCAGCAAATTCTAACAACGTAGCGATACAATAGAAGAAACTCATCAGTAAAAACCAGTCCAAAGCAGTAGCGTAACGCACTTTCGGGAGATCAGTCCGCGAATCCAAACTGATTGTTGACAATGTTAAAACTGTTGTTATTCCAAGACCTACCCGATCTGAGGTAGCCTGAAAGTAGAACGAAATATTGATAGTATACTTGCAGTTGTTCTCTCTTGCTATTGTTTATTTGATAGGATTATGTGAAAGACTTTTACTTTTGGCAGATATAATACAGCTCTATAATTTTTTTTATAGAATAAGGTTGAAAAACTAGCACACAATCCACCTGATGGTAAGTGGATGCTGTGGTCCATAGACATCTAGATTTATCCTCGATTAAGAATCAAAACGCGGATGCATTTTTACCCCTGTGGACTAAGATGTAATGCCCCTTTTTCAGTAAAAAAGGATCTTCAGATCTCACTCACCATACGAAACACAGCAGCGTTAATCCGCTATTTTACTCCGCTGGTATTCTGTGAGAGCGTGGTCGAGTCGACCCAATCGTGCTACAACTATACTACTAATATAGCTGCAGCACGGCTCTACCACGTTTGGATTGCGTGCTAGGCAAGGAATGGATACACAGTTTATATAAAAAATATAATTATATTGAATAAAACAGAAATACAGTGTTTATTGGGTGAAGTCTGAGAACAGATTGACAATAAAATGGAATATAATATAATAATTTATGTAGTTGGAAACAAAAAGAAACGAAGGGTGTCGTATAACTTATTCCCATGGACGTCAGCGTAATTTGTTCCAGAGAATTCTATTATGTATTTTGCAATATTAAATATAATAAATAATATATTCATAAAGATAATTTCAAATAAAAGTAGAAGCCTTATTTACTCGTATTTTCAAAAACTGCAATAACGGTACCTAACTATATTATTATTTATATATTTAACTTCCTAGTAGGAAGTTATTGTAATGGGTCCGATTTTGCAAATTAGAAATTTTAACAAATCTCCACGTTCCAAGGTCTTTAGACTTGAATAGTATGGTGTTTAAGAGGATGTCCGTGTGTGCACATGTACGTACGTATATATGTATGTATGTAAGTATGATTCAATTTTCGCCTCGTGTATCCCGAGAACAAAGAGTTATAATTAAGAAACGGAAACAGATGTTAAAAATATTTTTTGCAGAAACTGAAACGGATGCGGAAACGGAAATAATACTTTTTTAAAAATTACATATAAAACTTTTAATTAACATTCAAAATTAAGTAGCGGTTATTTATATTTTATGAAAAGTACACCACTTTTACACCTAATAATCTGTTCCAGTGTTCTTCATATACAATACAATACAATACTCTTTATTGTACACCAACAAAACATAAATATAACAAATAATGAACAAATAATGAGGGATAAACAAAAGGCGGTCTTATTGCTACATAGCAATCTCTTCCAGACAACCCAGAAGAGGAAATTAATAAAAATAAAATAAGATTGATGGGTAGGGTGCACTAAATTAGACAAAAAAAAATGCAACTTATATACTATAAAATGACAACATACTTAAGGTATAATAGTGACCATAACTAAGAGGAGGAAGAGAGAGGAGTTAAAGAGAAAAATAGTGTTCCTTAATTTGTTTCTTGAACACATTTAAAGATTGAGCACTTTTATTGGACTGGGGTAAGGAGTTCCAGAGTCTTACTCCAAGAACAGCAAAAGATTTATCATAAAATGTCGAGGAGTGTACAGGACATTGGAGCGAAAGGTTTTCTTTGGACCGTAAGGAAAAATCGTGACAAGAGCTAAGAAATTTAAAACGTTCTTTCAGATAGGGAGGACTTGATACATTAAATAAGACGCAGTAGAGCGCAGAAAGTATTCCGACGAAGACGGATTGGGAGCCACTTGAGTTTAGTGCCGTATTCCGAGACATGGTCATATTTACGAAGCTCAAATATGGACCGTATACAGAGATTTTGGAGTCGCTCAAGTTTGTTAAGTTGCTCCTCGGTGATATCAAGGTAACAAATGTCAGCATAGTCGAGGATAGGGAGTAGCAAAGATTGTGCAAGCGTAATTTTGGTGGAAATGGGTAAAAAGTAGTAAATCCTTCGGAGTGAAGCATCGCAAAGACTGCATTAATTTGGGGTGTCCGAGAAAGACTGGAATCCAAAAGAATACCTAAAATTTTCACTACTTCATTATATGGAATAAGAATACCATTAAATACAACGGGTTGAAGTTGACATTTTTTAATTTTGGAAATAGTTCTTGAACTCCCAATAATTATAGCTTGCGATTTTGAAGGGTTAACCGTCAACCCATAAGATCGTGTCCAGTCGAGAATAAAAGCCAGATCCTTGTTGATACATTCAACAGCTTTGGCAAGATCTCCGATGGTTGTTTGTAAATATATTTGAAGGTCATCCACATACAAGTGGTAGAGAGAAGATATACAAACATAACCGCTACCTAATTAATTTGCGAATCCAAGTTATAACAAAGGCATTTATTAAAAACTATTTTTAACTGGAGAAAACACGTTTTAATTAAAATTTGGTTTTAAATATAACATAGGAATACATTTTATAAATAAATAGGTATGCAATCCCTTGACTGACCATTTGTTTTTTAGTTTGCGATGAAAGTTTTACAGTTTCAACTAACTTTTCAAACTCAGCAAACTCTTCGGCGATTAAGATGGCTCTTTAAAGCGGTAGTTGTGCAGCCTTTTCCCGAGTACATTTTGTCACATAATTTACACCTGGCTGCTAAATCATCAATCTCAAAATAATAATTCCAAACAGGACTTGTTTTTGGTTGCAATTAAATTACACACAAGACTTAAATTTCTAATTAACTAAAAATACAATAAATTTATTTATGTAGATGCGGCCCTGAGTTCCGTTTGAAATTCCGTTATAAAACTTGCGGAAACAGAAGCAGAAACGGATGTTAAAAAGCATGCAGAACTTCCGCACTTGCGGAAACAGAAACAGAGTTCTGTTGCATCACTAGCTTATATTGACATGGGACCAGTTTCATTTAACGCATAATTATGTTACTTAGACCTCAGTAAGTTTTGAGCAAAATCGGACAACTCGTTTTTTGTGCCGAATGAAAAATTGTATAAAATATTAAAACATAAGATATTTATTTATTCTTTCCACTGGGAAATTAGTAATGTGGACATTTCGGGTCGAGCTAGAATAAGCTTAAAATTAGGCTACTCTACGAAAAATGACCATGTATGCAGAAACCCTTCAGAATTTCTATATACTTAGACAAAAAAAAAAAAACTAACAGCCCAAGCGACGATATTGACTACTGCAGCCAATAAACAATAAGGCCTACAGGGGCAAAGGTGAAACTCATCACTGCCTGTTAGACATGCTGATCTGAGATCGATTGATCGAAAAATCGGTTTTTTGTGCCAAAAAGATCGATTTTTTTAATTGATATATAGTACTGAATCGATCCAGTGAATCAATATTTCACCCTAGAAAAACGAGATTAAATCTTTTTCTGATTTCATAGGAAGTATAATATGATTTACAATTAGTTGAATATACACAAACTCGTAAATAAAGACAGTTTTTCTATTCAAAAACTAGCAAAACTGCTGTGCTGTTTCCTCCCACTCTTTTTATTATATTAAAGAAATAAAAATAAGTTGCATTTGTAATTTGTACTTTGTTCGAATCTGGAAGCAAATCGAAAAAAGATCAATTTTGGGGAAATCGATCTTTTCGATTGTTTTGTGAATCGATTCGTCAGATTTCGATTTGAATCGATTTAAAAATCGAAATTTCGGAAAGAATCGATATTCCTACTGCCTGTAATAGTAATCGTAACTAGCTTCAACCGAAACGAAACAACAACAGATATACTGCGTGCTGTATGCAGGGTTATTTTTCAAAGCAAAAAATTCCAGATTTTAAACTTAAGAATAAATACATAAATAATGGGTGCGTTTGGCAGAAAAAAGCGCTAGCAAGCGCTTGTAAGCAAAATGGCGATCGTAAGTGGTAAGCGCTGTTACACGAAGTTAGTTTTAACCGGGGAACCTAACCTAATTTATATATATTGGTTGCGCGGAAAACCATTCGTATTTATTTTATTTGACGGTAGGCTGCCAAATCGGTTATCCCTTTCCAAAACGATATCATTCGTACCCTCCTATCGACACATCGGGGTGGTGGGAATCTGGAACCACTCACAAACCTTGCCGAGCAATCGAGCTCCAGGGAACCCGCCTCACCTCGTGTGAGATATAGTCGCGCACCGCTTCTCTCCGGAGTGTTCCAGAAGAAGTTCCAGAAGTCGCAGTTATAGTGCTCGACCGCATAGAAGAAACATCCCGGTGAGTTGAGATTTTCCTAATAGTATTTTCCTGCTTGATATAGTTGTTTTAACCCGCTCCAATTTTGTGTTTTCCTAATCAAGCAGGATTCCTTTCATCGATTTGGCAAATAATAGTTCGTTATTTTGGGAAGAGCGAGTACATTGTACCGCATATACAAGTGTAGAAGCATTAGTAGATACAGTCCACTTAGATTAATATCTCGCGTAATAGGTTTAAGGTTCGACCGGGGAACTAGACTTCGGCAGCCTTAAACACGTGGCTCCACCAATTTTATGGTCACTTCGGCAGGATTTGGATTGGTGTTTGGTGGTCCTCCAACCATTTTCTGGTCGAATTATTAAATTAATTATTTAGATAATGCACTCTAATCTATGGAATAGACTTAAATAGTGTTCGTTTAAATTTAAATTTTGATTAGGTACTCGCAAACAGAATTATTTATTTTATAGCGCTCGTATTTGGTTAAATTTAAAGCTTATTAAATAATTGAAACAGTGTGATAGCAACCGTTTGGTACGATTACCCGACAATCTTTATAAAAACATTGAGTTAGCAAGCAACGCGTCGCCTCGACTGTAGCAGGTGTTCGATTTAATTACGTAATACGGCATACCGAGCGTCCATCGTCCATCGTTTATGCGTGTGAGATTAATTGTGGTTAATAACTTTGTTATAATAATTTAAAATGGCAGTTAGTGGAAGTGAATTTAAAATTAAAACGCTTTATGCCAAGAGGGACGTACTTTTTTCACGTATACAAAACATTAGCGATCATATAAAGAACA